ACACACACACACACACACACACACACACACACACACACACACACACACACCCATAACCCACCAGGAGCAGCCCCAAGCCACTAGGAAAGCCAGCCTGAGGCTGTTCAAACTAGTGAATCAGACCTGCAAGTGGGTCCTGGGGCTCCAAGGGGGAAGAAGATTCAAGGCTGGCCCTGAAAGCAGGGTGTGGCTGGGCTTTCACAAAGGTTGTAGCTGCCAGGGCTGATCTGACGTGAGTCACTATTTGGCCTTAAGGAGGAGGCCTGCTCCTGGTAGGGGAAGGGGGAGATGGGCCAGATAGTTGCTAGCACACCAAGCCCCAGCTGGAACCTCTGCTTCTGTGGCCTGATAGGAGAGTCCGGGAAGGGACTTTGCATTAGGAAACAAAGAATAGGACCAGCAGTTCTCCTCCAGATTAACTTCAGAAGAGCTTAGAGTCCCAGCCCCCTACCCCAAAGCCATAAGAACAATTGACTGCAGGGAAGTACCATTTACAAAGCCTTTTCAGATCTCATTGGATCCCCAAAGCAGCCCAGTGGAAAAGGTATTCTTATGCCCATTTTACAGATGAGGAAACAGAAGCTTCGAGAGGGACAGCCAGGAGTGTCAGATTCTGGCTTCCAGCCTCTTAACCCTCAGCCCCATGGCCTGGGGCCCTGAGCACAACAGAGCCTGCACTCTCCCTTCCAAGGAAGTCCCAGCTCCAAAATGACTCCTTTGAGTCTCTTCCCCTCAAATCCTAGGCTAACCCCAAAGACAGTCCCCTGCTCCCACTCTCTGGCCAGAACAATGCCTAGCACCTTCCACCATGAGTTGTGTGGCTTTTAAACACTTCTCTGGCACATCAAGAACTCAAGAGAACAAACTGTAAAGTCTGCCCCCCACCGCCCCACCCCCAGACGGAACTGAGGAATCAAGCTGCGGTAAACAGGTAAACAGACTGCCCACGAGCAGAGTCCTTGATCTGCCTCTGGCTGAGTGAGGGCAAGAACCTGTAGAACCTGATCGGAGTAGCTCCTTTCCCAAGTCCTGATCTCCAGCCTGGGGACCCACAGTCTGCAGAGGAGGGGCACACAGGGTCAGGAGTGATGAAAAGGGAATGTTTGAGCATGAAAGGATCCCAGAGAGGAAACTGCCCAGCCTTCCCCGACTTGTTGCTGCAGAGCCGCAGCCCCACGACATCCTTGTGGGAAAGGGGGGGCCGCTGTCAGATAGGATCAGAAACACTGCTGTCCCCACTCCCTTTTGGAAATTCACAATGCATGGTACTAAAGGCTGTGAAAACCTCAGTCCTTCATTTGTAAAAGAGGGATAATAATCATAATAACAATCTAGTTCCTGGAGTTGTTTCAGTGGTTAGATGGGTGCTAATGAGGTAGACAGTGATGTACTATTTAGTAACAATGTAACACAATAAATACATATCATTTGATTGTATATAGTGTATTATATACATGTAAGCATTATATTAAGTATTATTATTTAACTTCATTTAATCAGCAATTCCAAAATATACTGGACCATGGCGTCTTTTGTCAGGTAATGCCTATTAATAATCCATATATCACAAGAAAAGCTGATCCAGTCCGAGGAAGCTCAGAGAGGTAAAGTGGCTCTCCTGAGGTCACATGGCTAACTTGTGTCCAAGTCCTGAGGCCAACGGTTCTCTCTGCATCTCCACCTGGACCCACCCTAGAAGCTTCTTACACTAGAGCAAATGCAGATTGCGGTTCCCAGAGGGGAGGGATTCAAGGTAGGGGAGTTTTCATCATCCCTGAGGAAATGAAATAGTGGTTGGGGACCACTGGAAAGAAGTGAGAGTCCTAGTCCCTGGGTAGAACGAAATGGTGTGACTATGACAATAAGGGCAACGATGATAATAATGATGACAGCCAGCATCTACTGGGCCAGCCTCTAGGTTAAACACCTTGTATACATTATCTCAACTAATCCTGTGACTTAAAGTATTATCATCCCCATTTTATAGACCAAAAAACTGAGGCTCAAAAAGGTTACTAACTTGACCAAAGTCACACAAGTAAATAGTGGACCCAGGATTCAAGCCCAGATCTTTAACTCCCTAAAGCTGTAGTCCCAACCACTAACGCTGTCCCTCCTCTCATGAGTTGGGGGTTAAGGTGATTTCTTCCACTGGTCTGGAGAAAGGGTCATCAAGTTGGGAAAGGCATAGTGTCACCTGCCAAAGTCCCAACTTGTCCTCCCTGCTTGGATACACAAGTATCTGTTTGGTCAGTCAGTGGGTCATACAAACAAGATTCAAAGTTCAGCCTTGAAGAGGAGATGGGCTCATGTATATAAACAGAAGTCATAAGCTGGAGGACAGAAAGGAAAAGGATGCAAGACTTCGTGAACTTGCCTGTCATGTAAATTGGTAACCCTTCCCTAAGCAACATCCCCTTCCTAAGGACCATCAGCACAAGATGCTCAGCTATCAACACTTTCTCACTCGCTCCTCCATTCAGCAAAAGTGTATCAAGTCCTATCCCCTATTTGCCAGGCAAGATGCTAGATGCTGGGATACAGAAGTAAATACAAGCCTTTCCTGCCTCTAAGAAGCTGACAGTCTGGCAGGGGATTATAGAGACATTTCGTTTTGATTAAATGTGGTAGATTGAATACCCACATTCATTTTTGCACCTTCCTAAAACCCTGTTAAGCTGACAGTAAAGGACTATTTTAAAAGAATAAAAGAAGAGACAACAGAAGATGATAAATGGCCACAAAAAATTTTAAAGCTCGGAAATGGTAACT